AAGTGGTGCAATGGAGTCCTCAAGAGAAGGTTTTAGCTCACCCATCAGTTGCGTGCTTTGTAACACATTGTGGGTGGAACTCTTCTATGGAAGCACTCACATCAGGCATGCCAGTGGTGGCTTTCCCTCAATGGGGTGATCAAGTAACTAATGCGAAATATTTGGTCGACATCCTTAAGGTTGGTGTGAGAATGTGCCGCGGAGAAGCAGAGAACAGACTGATTACTCGTGATGAGATAGAGAAATGCTTGTTGGAGGCCACAGTGGGACCTAAGGCAGTGGAAATGAAGCAGAATGCAATGAAATGGAAGGAGGCAGCCGAGGCAGCAGTGGCTGAGGGGGGATCCTCCGACTGGAATATACGATATTTTACTGATTATATTGTAAAAGCGAATGAGTCTGAGATTGCTAGAAAGTGCAATGGTTCTAATGGGTTTCCAGTGTCGGTAGTGGTGAAGTCCACCGAGAAAGTGGCTGAACTGGCGGGGTCATCGACATGAGGAGATTTGCTAAATATGCCGTGAACATGGAACGGGTTTAATCCAGTGTTTTTATGATGAAATTACTCCTGTTATGTAGTCGTCTACTTTTTACTTCTTTTAATTAGCTATTAAAAAAACCTTAATATACAGAAAAGGACCCCATGCCATATAAAGGCCATATGCATTGTTGTTATCGAATTTTTTTATTCTGCCTAAGAACAATTCAAGGCTTTGCCTCGAGCTTCCTCTATGAGTAGTTCCGCTAATAGCCCACCATCTGCACCACTAATAATTTAAGATGATGAAAATGGAATGTATATGTTCAAAGGATTTGAGGTGGAAACATTGTTCATATATTAGCTATTCACATCTTTTTTTTATTGAGTCTTTTTGGTCCTATATTTAATTAGTGTAGTTCGATTTCTTAAAATTCATACTCGATAAATTATAAAATGGTGTTTAGATTATGACATTTTTTTCATATAAAATTATATTTGAATTAATTTATCTGAATTATGTTTAAATGATTATTCAATTATATCATTATATATAAAAAATAATTTTTTTTATAAATATTATTAATTTTTTTATGAATAAATTATCTATGAGTTTAGTAGGTGCATGAATTTTTAAAATGAATACATCTATGAATATTGATTGAAAATAAAATGTCTTATCTTGTGGTTTTAGCTGAGATTGGAATGAGTGTTTTTTTTTTTAAAAGAATTTTATCCATATTTGTTTCATAAATTTTCAAAGATGGAGAGCTTGTTGTTATTGTAGTTATAATAATTTTTTAAAGTATTTTTTATTTGGAAATGTATTAAAATAATATTTTTTTTATTTTTTAAAATTTATTTTTAATATTAGCATATTAAAAAATTAAAAAATCAATTTAAAATAAAGAAAAAAATAATTTTTTTAAATATACTTATAAAACATAAAAACAAACAGTATTATATTACTCAACACAACAGCAATTTTGCTTGTAACAGTAATTCAACATTGTGATTCTACCGGCAAACAGTAATCTAGTACCACGTTTTGTTCGTAGCAAATAAGTTAATGACTTGTGACTGCATTTCAATTCTGGATATGTTAAGAATTTTAATTTAATATTTTGGCAAAATAAATATATATTTTAAAATAAAACTGCTGCAATTTCAAGTCTCAAACACCACCTAAACTGATGGACAAGAAAGTAACAGGATAAAGTAACCACTTTTCACTGAAAATAAATATGGAGCCCCACAAATTGAAGAAGTTTTCGCTTTTCACTACCAGCAGAAATGTGAACACTTTTTAGGATATGTTTCTTGAAAAATTATTTTTAAATTTTTTTATATTTATTTATTATAAGAAAAATTGATTAAAAAAATAATTTTTAATTAAAAAAATTTAACTTGATTTCTAAAAAATTATTTTCTTGAAAAATAATAATTTTTAATTAAAAAAATTTAACTTTATTTCTAAAAAATTATTTTCTTGAAAACTATTTTATTTGAGATAATTTATAAAAAAAATTCAATTTAATTCTCATTTAACTTTTTAATTTGTAAGATTTATTTTTTATTATTTTAATAAATTTAAGAAAAATAAAACATTAATAATTTATTTTTCAGCTTATTTTTTATGACATTATCAAATATTGGAATATTTTCTAACTTATTTTTCATTACACTATTAAATATTAAAAAATAATTTATTTTTTTAAAAAAATTATTTTTTAACAAATAAACAGTACAGTATGTATTTCACTTTTCAGCACCAGCGTTAATGCTTTCGGACCAGGTTTACATTATTTATGCGCTCAATAGTGTAAAAGGGCAGCTAGGAGTCCTGCATATCCAAGCACCCTTTCTGCCACTAAAGACCTTGGTACCAAGCGTGTTTCCTGAAAAATTAAAGATTTGTTTTCATTTAAAATTTTTATTTTTAAAATTTTTTATTATTATTTTAATATATTATATCAAAAATTATTTTTTAAAATAAATATTATTATTCTCTAAAATACATCTCAAATATAAAAATACAATTATTTTCAACATGTTAGGATATATTTAAAATTATGATAATAGTTATAATTCAAAATATTTTTTTGTTTAAGAATATATTAAAATATTATTTTTTTATTTTTAAAATATTATTTTTTATTTTATGAAAAAATTAAAAAAAAATAACAATAAAATTAAAATTTAAAAAAGTGCGGTTCCTGGGCGTTGCCATGATCTAACCGTGTCCGGACGATAGCACCGCCACTCCCACACTCTTTCACTGTACTACAATCACCCGAGCCCACCAGCACAAAACACTATTAGATGCACACTGTTCAGGTGCAAGTAGCCAAGAGGAGACAAAAATATACCTGTTGCAAGCATTCTCATCCAATCCAAGGTTGTTTCAATCATTTCGGGTGTGATTGGAATTTATTGTATTTTAATGATATGCTAATATAAAAAATAAAAAAAACAATTGTTTTAGATGAGAATGAATACTGTATTTGAAGAAGTCAAAAATAAGAGCTACATTTACCAAACTTCGAAGGACGAAGGTGATATTTGTTTCTTACAACCTGTTTTCTGAAAAATTATTTTTAAATTTATTTATTTATTTTTTATTAAAAAAAATAATTAATTAAAAAAAAATTTAATTAAAAAAATTTAACTTGATTTTTAGAAAAATATTTTCTTGAAAAATTTGAAAGGAAAATAATTTCTGAAAGTGGTGAAAATTTTAAAAATGTTATATTATTCGCTGATTATATCAAATTTGATCATTAAAATTTTAATTACTATGTATATTTTATTTTTAATATTTATTTTTTAATTTTATCTCTTAAAATTTAATTTTTATATTAA